CACCGCCGGGTCTCGAACCCCTCCGGAGGTTCTGCAGTGACATTAGTTGATGAATTGAGAGAATGACAACTTTGTTACAAGAAGACACTTTATAGAAATGATTTCGACTCTCTCAAGTTTAGCAATGATTCTCTTTCATTATCAACGAAATGAGTGATTTATAGTATACTGGATATAACTGAAATAAATTGCCGAAGCTAAGCTCGAATTGGAAAGTGTCCCAGAGTGAGTCTTACTTTGACTCGAAGTTTGCTGAGGGTTTTTGGTATGTGGGTGGCAATCAGCAGCACGCTTGCTTCAAACGAGTCGCTTATCCAGTAGACGATAAAATCCGAATTTCCGTCTTCGGTAATACGAGTACTTCACGCAAGACTTGTGGAATCTCTTTCTCCCGGATTAAACTGGTTTGTGATATGCCCTCTGCCACCTAAAAATGACATCAGATATACTGTGCATAAGATAAATGAAGAATAAGTTGATTATAAACAACCATGCTTTGAGCATGAAAAGATTATGAGAGGTCTTCGGAAATTAGGAAAAAATGAGTACATGTTCTTGGTGTCAGGGGCTTGATCGAAAAGGTGCGTGAATGAGGAAATATTGTGCGGTAACTTTTTTAAAACATGAATGTATGCATATTTTTTCGATATATTTCTCCTTGTGAAAATGTATTTAGATAACAATTTCGAAATTTCATTACAAAATTTCTGGAAACTCTGCTAGAAATGGAACTGGGGATTGGGCGAAGGACAACTTCACAATTTCTAATAAATCCCCGCAAAGTGGAACGCTAATTTTCAAAACTGCGTTGTCGAGGTTCTCGCATAATGGCAGAACTGTAAAAAGGACATTTGAAGTCTGGAGGGCACGCCCTCTGGAATGTTCGGCTCATCTTGTGTTATGAGTTTATCTAATTCCGAAACTGAAGAGTCAAATTGGTAACTTTTTAATCTTTTAATATATTGAGTAAAAGTAAACTGTGACCGTCGGACAAGGGGAGTAGTTCTTCCATTCGCCTTGCCATCTCACAAACTTCATTGGTATGACGGATTTTATATTCAGAGAAAGTTATGTACGAACGTTATGTACTAGTGATACTGTGGCGAAAATGGCAATATATCGGCAGAAAAAGTTGCATTGTAGGTCCCTGATACCAAAAAAAGAGGATAATTTTTGTTCCTGTATGTATGTAACTTTCTCGAACACGTTGTAAGATCACTTTTTTTGAGCCTTGATATCTAAAGATAGGACAAAATGTCTGAAAAATTACCTCATTACGTCTGAAAAAGCTAGCGGCTAAATCGTAATCAGGAGTTTCACCAAAATTGATATTCCTCAATTCATCTGGGTAATGTCGCAGCCTCTTCAATTTGAAACAGACATTTTTATACTTTACATGAAGCCCCAACACATACTCTTTTTTTCTCAAAAACGGCTCAAAACTTTTTCTTTGTTTTTCAGGTAGAGAAAAGTATGCTTATTCAAATGGCATACTTTCAGAAAATATTCAGGTTCTATTTTCGTTAGATTCTCTAAATTTTTGAAAATTGCAAAAGTTTAGTTTTTTGGTGTCATCCTAAAACTGCAATACGGAAGGTAGAGATATTTCGTTATGAAATATCTTCAAAATTAGATCTATAAATAAGCTCATGTACAATTATTTTTAATGAGTAGTTTTGCGTAATTTTTGCTTGAAATAATGGCAATTATAACAAGACTTTTCTTAAAAGACTCCGCTGTTTTGTTTACACTTTTTGTATGATTGGAGCTAAATGCACTGAATACCAAGACGTAAATGATGTTTTGATGAGATTTTAATTTAAAACTCGTAAGTTAAAAAAACACAAATATGTGTTCAAGTTGTTTCGTAATATTACGTAACCGTTACAAATAATGGGAGAGTGTGCTCTTAATATTTTTAAATTAAATTCATAAACTAAAATAATTAATAAACCATATTTTTTCTAGTTTTGTACCAAGTAAATATAAAAACGTTGCTTCTAAATATTGCTTTTAATGCGTTCATCAGAAAGTATCATCGTGGTAAGTAAATAATAGTAATTAATTATACATGTAGTGATAGTGATTTATTTTGCGAGTAGGAAAGGTTGCGACTGGAGGTCGATATGCCGAGTGGCACAATCTTTCGAGCCGATTGGCCGAACAATCCTACTATTTTGTACACAGCCTTACTGACTTTTTTGTCCTATTCCTCCATTTTTCTTCTGTTGTTTTCGCCCCGTTGACCCCGTCGCAAGTCTTCTTTGACCTCTTCGTCCCTTTTGTTGCTTTGTCCCTATGCCATTTTTAGTCTTTCCGTGCAGACGAACGTATTTTATCTTTTTTTGCATTCACAGATATATATTAAAACACCTGAGCAACTTCTCATTTTTAGCACTAGAGCTAAAAATTGTACTTCAACACGCTAGGCATTCCCTGAAAGAGTCACTTTTAGTACTAGCTGTCTAAAAAATATTTTAATCTCGTATCAACTCATCTTCACTTTGCAAGGTCGGTTTTAGATATTACTTACAATGGAAGTAACAGATCCTTCATGTCGAAACACCCCTCGAGATTTTTATGGCACTTGAAATGCACTATCAGCATACCATATCCAAAAGATTAGCTGCCAGTTTCCACTGCAAGGCTCCAAAATTAAAGGTAAAATCTTATCTAGCATCTTATCTCGCGCGGCGCCGCTGGACATCCCTACTAGGGTCGAGCGGGCAGTCAGGCGGCCGAACAGGCGGGCCACACAGCCATCGGGCGCGCAAGCGAAAGCCAGGAGCAGTCTCTCGGCGCAAGTTAATGCGGCACAAATAAAAAACAGAAATTACTGGTTTCCACTGAATGATTAAAATATACATGTTTTTACACCACGCACAACGATTAAAAACTTCATTTTCACATTCTTCTTTACGTTGGTTTTTCGTAGTTTCAAGGCAATATTTGACGGGCACTACAAGTTCAGGAGGCCGCTCTGTTATGTACCTTGTAGCGAACCAAGTATACTTTATCATATTCCGGAAACAAAGAGAAGAAAATTAAAAATTAATGAAGGATTGCATTTAAATAATTTTGTCTCTATCGGAAACGTTTTCGCTTATACTCTTGTCAGACATTTTTTTCTGATAAGTGGCTATACATATCTTTCCACTGTCGGAAGAACTTATCAAGTGGTTGGATTTTTCCTGTAGCTCCGGGAGGTATCTGGAGCAATTCAATTGTCTTACCTGGAGGAATATCTTCAATAGGAGTTTTGTCATTGTACATGGCCTGAGAAACAAATGGCAGAGTAAAATTTTCGCTTACAAGTGGGATGAACGCTTCTTTAGACCACTGTTTCAACTCTTTCTTTCCCTTTTTTCGTAATTTTGTAGCAATAACAATTAGGTTTTCGAATTGAAACATTCTTTTGAGACTACAGGACCGAAAAATTATTTTGGTACCTGCAACACTATAAATAATTGAGGCAACAAAGATCCATTCATATTTATTGGTGCCATTATAGTGTACGAATGTGATAAAGCACAACTGATTGGTTTTCAACAACAAACGACAATGACCGTTTTGAACGCATTTCGCGTTCAAATCCATTTTGGTATGTATCGTACACAGAAGACAGTGGGTAATGTGAACATTTATCTTTGGCATTTTCAAGAAATTCCTCTGCAACCACATTATATTCTGTTTCGTCGTGTACATAAGTGAGCGATACAAATCTTGTAATTTTCCTGCTCTTAATTTTATGTCATTTTTTAAAACGATTGATTCAGGTGTGGGAGGTGGAAAAGATCTTATTTTCGTTGCCAGTTCCTTGTGAAATTTCCAGGGTCCACTGTCTTCATTATTCACATTTTGGTTTGTTCTTCTTGCAAGTTCAAATCGAGATTTGTTTCTCATACATATTTTTTTGTGTTCTCTAGGATTTGCTCTAGGATTTCTACAAACATGTGATATTTATTATCTTTTCTTACCGCCCTCATTCAACCAGAATTCCACAGCTTTCTTCTTGTAACTAATGCTAACGTCTTCATTTTCATTTTCACTGGGCTTGGGCAATACACTGAACCGGAGGATTTGCAGGGTGACTGACATTTAGGATCACTAGTTTCCGAGGATTCGCTGTCTGATTCTAATTAACATTTACCCATATCATCACACGTGGAAGAAGTATGCTTATCGCAGTCTTTATCACTTGATTCACAAACACTTCCTTCACATACATCGAGGGTTGATTCCTTATAACGCTCCACTCATGTGCTATTATTTTCGATCAATTTCAATGATGCATTGACCCATTTCTTGTTCTTTTTCGTTTACACTTCTCGTCCGAGATAAACCTTTGTCACGAAAGTAACTCAAGACGAACTAGACTATGTTAACGGTATTTTAAACTACTTGATTTGTGCCCATTGCGGATGTTATTTCGTCCGTAGCATGGAAAGATGAACTAGTGCGAAACTACGCAGCCCTTATTTATTGCAGAGCCGCTGACGGAGCCGCCGACTCATCCGTGACCTTCGGGTCCCTCGCGCCAGCTCGCCCGCAGTAAGGGCTGCACAAATGGACCGGTAGACGCCCCGATCATTTTCCTAGTTAATATATATTTTTCAGTGACTTATTTGGAGGCCTTGCAGAGGAAACTGACAGCAAATATTTTGGATATAGGATTCTGATAGTGCATTGCGTGTGTCATTTCGAGGGGTGTTTCGACATGAAGGATCTGTTACTTTCCTTGTTAGTATCATGTTCATTTTTCTACATATTTTACCTATATTTTATTGCAATGTATCTTTTTAATAGTCTCTTTAAAATAAATTCGGACATTCTTTGAGTTAAACCAAATTTAGATTTATTTAGTAAAAAACAAAACTATGTGACGTATGGGAGAGAAGGTCATCCGCGCATATTATACACACGTTATTACACAAATCATAACCTTATTCCGTGGATGCAATTTCTTTCCCATATGTCACAGTTACTACTGTTTTTTTACTAAATCAAATTTAATCAAATCATGGGAAATTTGCCACTATAAAAAAGCCACGGCAAAGCGCATTAAGTTGGGCCTATCTAGTGCTGTTGTGTATCAAGTTCAAAGTTCTTAAATGTTTTGATGATAAAGCAGCCACGAGTGCATAAACGAATACGTTTTTTAAAGGCACTTTTGTAAGTTCGTTTCCTCTTTTAGATTTTACTGAATTATCAACTTATTATCGTGAGGATAGTATTCAACGCATTATAAATTCAGTGTTCACGCGCTCGTCTCATCTAATCGCGTGACACAATTTCAATTTCTGATGTAAGTTCGGCTGAATGAGTTTATTATCTCACCCAATTTGATAGGTGAGACAATACTCATGTAACATTTTACACTCATTAACCTCATTAGTAAAATTCAACAGTTCGGTTCGAACTTATGTGACCGATGCATGGCGAAAGGCCGGGTATTACGTACACATTACGCAATGACTGGCATGTGCTTCTTTGAACGAGTAGCGCGCTGAAGGCCGGTTTGAAGAGAAGTCGGCAATTTTCTCCTCAGGTGGTTAGCAGGTGCACTGCAAGTGTCCCGATGCCTGGTGTTGGTACGGATATCCCGGACTTTTACCGCAATACAAATTCCGCAGTGCCTATTATGGCAAAACAGAGTGAGAAGGTAGATGAAGAGGAGAGTGATATCGATCAATACGATGTACTAGCCTGTGAGGCGATGGATGCTTGTTTCACAGCCTTTGATAAAAACGGGTAAGTAATTACCTTAAGTTATTTTGTTACACATGCACAGATTTCGTGAATGTCTGTCAGAGTGCAAATAGTAATATATGTTATTCAAACCCTGTCAATCTCATTCATGGAAACACATGACATTTTTTTGACATCATACAGCTCTGTTGACAGAAATCATGCTGCTTCTTATTGTAGTTACCATCCTACTCATTTACTTGATTTTCAACCCTTATTAGGGTTATGTCTCATTTCTGTAAAAGGGGACAATGACCCTCGGAGAGGAGTTGCAATTTTTTAGATAAATTATTACTTGCAATTCATGAGAATTTTTAATATTTAGTGTATTTTTATATAAAAAGTGCATTTATTGTTTGGAAATACACGAAAATTGGTGTTTTTGTTTTTGCAGGGATGGGTTTTTGGATGAAAGGGAATTCAGTTTGGTATGCCGTGCCCTGTTCCGTAATGACAGAGGCAAAATCTATAATGTGGAGCCAAAAAAAGTTCATGAAATGTTTACTGTTTTTGATAAAAATGAGGTAAATTATAGTATATCTAATTATCATTTTGAAGTTTTTGCCTTATTACTTGTAATGCCTTTATTTTGAGACATTAACCAATTAATTGATATTACTTTATGTATGAAATTTTTTTTATCATTCTGGTAGAAATACAGTTAATATTATCAAAATGCAGTGTAATGTGTTGAAAACCACTAATATGTACCAAATGAATTCTTTTGAGTTACTTTTGACAACTTTCATTTAGAAATCTTAAGTGATAAAATATAATTCATCATTACCTACTTATTTTGGTATGTTTGTTCAAATAAGTAAAATGGTAGATAATGGAGTACTATGACTGCATGGTTTTACTTACCTGGAACCATTAATTGAATCATATGCAGTCAATTCTACTTACCTCTGGGTGCCTCTGCTTATGAAAGAAGAGACTATATGTAATGGGTAATTTTACATCAGTCCGTATTAAAAAATTGCGTAAAAACAGAATATGAATAAATTGATATTAAGGTGACTTTTTCAGGTATATTTTGCACGACCAGTTTCTTAAATGTAAGTTCTCTCTTTCATAATGGTTAAGGCTTAAAAATTTGAAATGTCATATACTTTTTGTATGAAAATGAAAAATGTAACAGCTGTAGATTTTATTTCAAATGTAGGAAGTAGCACTGCTTTTATATTGTTATAAAGGTAATTCCAATGTATTAAAATAATAACTTGATGCAGATATAAGAATTTTTGGTGAGTATAATGCTCACTTAAGTAATATTATAAATAATTTTAATGCAGAAAAAACCAAAGGGCTATTTCCTATGTTCAAAGGAATCAAAAGTATCATGCAAAGGGGGAGTATGATACACAATGGTAATATGTTTTGAAAATCAGTTAGTCTTAGAAAAGTTACACAAATCTCAAAACATTTTGTAAAATGTTTTAATGAGAAACAATTGTTATTTTTTTCAGGATGGATTTATTGATCGGCAAGAATTTGTATTTTGTTGGAACCAATGGATTAAAAAGGTATTCATATTTTCAAAATTGTTTTATGCAAATTTATATAATTTCTCTATTGTAAATTACATACAAACCATATTTTTGATTTATTTCTGAACTTGTATTGTGCAGATTGTACGTCCCATAAGTGTGATCTTGGTTGTGGATGTACAGAATGATTTTATTTCGGGGACGCTGAATATTAGTCATTGCTCTGCAAAACAGAATGGTGCTGAAGTGAGTATAAAATATCGATATAATCCTGTAGTAACCTTAGTTAATCACTCTATAAACAAAATTTGGTATTACAATTTTATGTAATTGGAAATTATTGACCAGACCAGAAATTACTGACTAACCCAGAATTATATTTTTTAGGTCATTGAACCGATTAATAAGTTGCTGGACACAGTCGATTTTGATGCTGTAGTTTATTCACTTGACTGGCATCCCAGTGATCATGTATCATTCATTGATAATATACACATTCGCAAAGTGGATTCTTCTAGCCCAGTGAGTTGATTTTGATACTTTTGAAACTGAATCTAAGCTTTTGGATTTTGTATTACCGTTTGTCTTTGTGTGTTTAATTTGATCAATGGTTTTTTCTTTTGTAATTTAAGACTTCATTCATTCCAGATCTTTCAGGAAAATGTAGGCAGTGATTGGGGGGAGAATAAAGTATTAAGTTTCTTAAAATACACATTTCAAAAACATGTTTGTTTAATGTGTGATGATCATTGTTTTTTAATTTAATGTGTATTTTATAATTAATTAGAAATCATCAGAAGAAGCCAAAGTATATGATACGGTGATATTTGAAGGACCACCTCCTATGAAGCAGCGCCTGTGGCCAAGACATTGTGTACAAGAGTCTTGGGGTGCAGAATTGCATAAAAACCTCAAGGTATTAAAAGGCATTTATTCCATATACATGAACATTATTTTGATGTCCAAGAAATTGAACATTACTTTGAAATTCTACTTTCATTCATTTTACAGGTTTTTCATAATTATTTATTGTTATCATTACCATTAACCATTTATTCTGTTGATAATTTTTGGCAGGTTGTGGATAATGCTATTAAGGTTTACAAGGGAACTAACCCAGATGTGGATTCTTACTCAGTGTTCTGGGATAACAAAAAATTATCAGATACTACATTATGCTCTGAACTGAAACAAAGAAATGCTACTGATATTTATGTTTGTGGACTCGCATATGATGTTTGTGTAGGTGAGTTAAATATGTTTTTGTAATAATGAAAATAATATATTGATATATGCAGGGGATATACTATTTCAAAGCATTTGATACTTGATTGTATGTTGAAGTTGAATGCAATTATGGGGAGTTGGCTTCATTTTGAAGTATCCTTTATATTTATCATCAGTCTATTTTGGTAAATCTTTACTAACAATAGATAGATATTATGTATAAAATGAAGTTTGAAACTGATAACAGTATTGTAAGTGTATGAAGACAACCCAAAAAAGAAATTACACAAGATAAAAAATTCATCCACAATTTCTAATATCCAAGTATATGATGAGCTTAACACCTGAATGAAGCAAAACAAAGTTGCTGGAAAAATTAATTTTCAGAATTTCGTAGTTCATTTACTTCAATTTTCAATTGTTAGTTGGTTGGAAAGTTGTTCTACTGTACATTATTAAGACATTTCTTTTCATTACATTGTTGTATATTGATTTTACATACCAATTATTGCTCTTTTCTTTCTAAACATCAAAAGTAACATCAAAAATATGTCCATTGTGCATAATGAAACACAATGTAGTAAAATATGATTATGAAAAACTCAGAATTAATTGCAGTTAAAGAATATATTTTATTTTAATAGGAGCTACAGCTGCTGACTCATTAGCTAGTGGGTATCGGACCATTCTCATTGATGACTGTTCGCGTGGTGTTGACCTTGAAGATATAGAGCAAACCAAAAAGAACGTTACCTCTCACAATGGAGTCATTGTCGATTCATCTCAGGCAAGTAAAATATTACATCCAAATTACTGTCACATTCATTACAATGCTTTACAATGAATGTTAGTTTCTTCTCTACTTGGCCTTTAGAAGATTTTTGTCTGATTAGAAATTCTATGTTTGAAAGCAAAATTAACTTACAACAATTGAAAGTTACTTAGCTCAATATTTTTTCATATTAAAAAATGCTATTCTGTGTGGAATTGCATCAATCTTAGAGAAAAATGCCTGGATTTCATAATTAATATTAGTAGATTATCATAAAAATGACTAAATGTAAGTTCATATCGATGTCTTAGCATCATATATTTCAATACGGTTGTGACAGATGTAGAAATCCAGAAATTGTCGGGGAATTTGCCATTCATTGAAAAATCGGATGTTTTATTTATTTCTAAGGAAAAGAGAAAGTGTTCAAAGGTTGTTGAGTTTGTGTGTGTTGTGGTGTGGCGTGTGTGTGAATAATTTAAAGTTGGATTTGTATCAAAAGTAACTTACTCTGAAAAAATGCATTGTACATGATTGTCCAGTTTACCAATGCAAACACACATTAAAGTGTCTTGGTCACAGCATTCTATCCATGCAGGTTGGGAGGACCAACTAAGTATTAAAAATTCTATTATTAAAATATCATTAAATACTGCATTGTAGTATTTGGTTAAACATTAGCAATAATCAGGTGATAAGACTATCGTTTGCAGTGAAGCACAAATAGATGATGACATTTTTCCGAGGCTTTGCAGTGAAATCAGGAACATTTCCTTTGTTCAAATGGGTCTCTTCCATTTACTGGCCTTCATCGATATTTTCAGTTTCCTGTGATAGTACAATACTCCAGACTTTTCCTTGAACATTCAAATGAAAAATCTTTGCCTTTCTTTATCTTGTCAGATCATTCAGAAATTCAAAAAAAGTTAGAGTGCATTATGTCAAGTCTCTGTGAAATTCTCTTTCTTTAGAGACCTTATTTATAAAATGATTGGTTGCCTGTGAGAGTCATAAAGCTCATCTACACTCTTTCAATAATGTAGGGGAAGAATTAATATTTCAAATACTGAAATGCTGTTTTGTAAACTTATTAATCAATGTTATTGTTTTGTTGTTATGATCTTGGGCTATGAATTTACTTACTGTACTGACTATCAATTAATGTTAATTTTCAAATGTTCTATAAATGTTGTATTCTGCTACTGCAGCTTTGTATTTCGTTAATTAATTTGTTCATTCATTTGGGCGTATTATAATGATAGGCCAAAAAAAGGCAATTTTTGGAAGAGTATGAAAAAAGGTAGATTATTATTTTTTTCTTCTTTCTTTCTTTCTTTCACCAAAAAAAACTAATGTTTGTTATGCTTTCTAATTCAGAAATGCTTGGGCTGGATTCTTTTGTTTTATTGCAAATTAAAGATATCTATTATCTTGTGAAGTATTTATTTTGAGGTTCTTAATGGTGGTAAACTGGCTTCGAAATAACTGATAATAATAATAATAATAATAATAATAATAATAATAATAATAATAATAATAATAATAATAATAACAATAACAATAACAACAACAACAACAATAATTTTATTATTATTATTCTTGATTTATGGGGTATTCAGTGAAACCTCACTGAAAGACCACTCCTATTAAATGACCACCCCTCTCAATAACTGATTTTTTTTTGTAACAGACACAGAAATCCATTTACTGTCTGCAAAATTGACCCCTCTTAACAGACCACCCCTCTCTCCAACTAGTGACCAGCCCCCTAATAGCAATTTTCTTAATTTACCCCTGAGTGCCCACAATAGGTAGGCTCACGCCAGTGCCTGCAATGTATCTCTCGGATATAGCTGCAAATTTATGTGCAACTGTTAATGAATCCTACTCTGCAGAAGAGGGGGAAGCAAGGTCATCATTCAAGAAAAGTTGCATGAGTAATACCACATTACACTGAATTTTCAAAATTTCAAAATGAAAATTTGCGATGTTGTTAAAAGTATGCCTGTGACAAGGTCTGTGTGTCAGTTTTGCTCTCAAGGAAATCTGAGAGCAGAAGATGCTGAGTATCTAGAAACAATAAATTGTGGCTTTGGATATTGTATCATGTCTGTTTTTTCCATTTCAGTTTCATTTCTTCTAATGAGATAGAAGATATGAATGTGACTCAACATTTAATTCTTTGAATTTACTGAGCTTTCCTTTCTTTCCTGGAAGAACATATAGTGCGTTAGAATATTAATCTCTGGCGTCAGATATATCAACTTGCCCTGTAACACAAAAGTACTATTTATCTTGTGTCCGGAATTTGAGCTCTGTGTGCACTCATGACCCAGTCCTTTTTTTAATAATGCAATGGAGAGCAAGAAAATTTAGGTTTTAATCTCTTAAGACATAGAATACACCATGCATACCCAGATGACAAATTGAAACTACACAAGAAAATAGAGGTTCATTGCTGATAGACAATGTTTGGGAAACTGCAAATAACTTAAACATTTATTTTTATTCAAGAGAAGGTGATATAAATATTTTTAAATGCATTTGACTAGTTAGTTATGAATTCTTCAAAGACATAGGTCAAAAAGGCTAAATAAAACTTATTCAAAATGTGTCATTTTTCATAATTCCTTCTCATATACTAAAAGCATTCCATAAACATTTTCCTAAACATCCAATGTCCAGTAATACCGTAATATGTTTTTTTTTGAAGGGGCCAGTTTGAATGTGGTGTTTTCAACTACCTTAGTCATGCAGTGTCTCTCAGCAAATAGGAAGGAAATCCTTACATTCAATTTAGGTACCCTGTGTGAAATGGAGGAAAGAAAGTTCAGAGCAGTCAACCTCTTTATAGATTAGTTTATATAAGAACATGCATTCAGACAGCACCCTTCTGTCACAAGAATGACAAGTGCACCCTTTCAAGAATAACACTGTAATCATGATTCCAGATGGTCATGGGCGTACCAAGCCAATCAGCCAAAGTTCTCAGAAATATGTGCTGAACTCTCTTGAGTACATTCATTTTCAAAAATAAAAATAAACAAATTTTAAATATCTTGGGAAAATATAACAGCATTAATGATTTCATGATATATTTATAATTTTCTTGAAGTTAAAAAGTCAATAAAACTGGAGGTGCCAATGATTTTTTTTATTTTTTAGAAAAAAAAACAAACAACAAAATAATAAATCAGCGCTTGAAGAAAACTTTGCTTGTGTCTCTTCCAGTAATGCCTTCATTTTTTTTTCCTTGGCATTGATAAGAATTCTTGCGATGGCTGACATTACAAATATATACACTGACCCAGGCAATCCAAGGCAGAAAGAAAAATGTTAGTGGGTTACTGCTAATAATCTGGACTTCAGCAAATTTAAAATATTGGAATGATTCATGAAGATGAAAACATTTCAACTGATATTCATCTGTCCCAAACCTTTCAGTTTCGTTTAAGTATATTCCAATAACATTGACTTAAAGAGATTGTTTTGTTTTAAAAAATGTGTGTTGCATTTGTAAAATTAAGTTAAATTCCAACCATATTGCATATTTGGTAGATGTACATTGTTTAATGTCAGTATTTATGTGGAAGTTGTGAAAACAATAATGTTTAAGTACTTATTTCAGAGCTTTTTAAAAACACAATTTTAGTGCCAAGCCTCCTTATTTTACATTGTTTAGTTGCTAACATCCAGTCTCTAATCATACCCAACGAAAATTCATTAAAGTATTGTAATAAAAAGCATGCAGTGATTGTTTGTTTATGAATATTAACATTTTGAGAAGAATTTTTGCCATGATCATTATGTTAACTTTACAAAGCTGTTTCAAAATATTCAAAACAGATTTGCTGCTGAAGCATCTTCGTTTTAGAAGCTGGAGAATTATCTATATGGTTATTGAAAGTATATTGTGAAGGATGGAAACTTTATTATGTAAAAGATATTTCTGTGTCTGAAATATTTTGAGTATGTTTTCTTGTTTTATAATTACATCTTCATAAGCTTCTTTCTTGTGTCTTGTGTTCTTTTCCTTTTACTGTAATATTATTCTCTCTCTCAACTGTATCCTTCCAATTATTTTCATCACCCACCTCCTCATCCAGTTAAGTTATACTTACACGAGTGTATTGTCATTAAAGATTTTATTTTTTAACATGTTTTAATCTTTATTTAGGTGAAAGCTATGGTTGAGGGTCGTGACCGCAGGCCTGAGCTGGGATACAAATTGGCTATGGAACTTAAAAACGTAAAAGCATAAGCATGCTAGAATAGCATTAGTTATTTTCACTGCCCAACTGTTGTGCTTGTATTATTTGGCAGTTTAAATAGCATGCATGGCATATGTAAGAATGCCATAGAATTTAATGATCTGAATGGTGCAAAAAATTAGGGCTAATGAGCTGTTGTACCAAAAGTATGTTCAAACATGTTGTTACATAATTAGTTAACTTTTCTGTGATGTGGAATATTGTTAAAATGTATGCAATATTGTTAAGGAATTCTTTTTGCACTGACAGGCAATTTATACTTAATGGTGAATGGTAGAGGATATCTTTGGATTGGAAATAATTTTTATGATTTCTTCATATTTTTAATGGAACTCAAGGTCCTTCACTTGATATCTTCTTTTTAGAAAATCAGAATATATTTCTCCCGTATCTCAAAAGTAGCTTTCATGTACATAACCATTAAAGAGGGAATTTCTCTTTTGTTTGCTCTCTAAGAATATTTTTGAAATAAAGAAATGAGCTTGTACTTGAGAATGGCCTTCAGATATTTGTTGTGATAATGCAAAGAAGTAGTGCATTTATTTATTGTTGAAAAATAATAATTATTATTATTATTATTATTATTATATTGATATTTTATTTTAGAAGTATTATTAGTAGTATTGTAAGTACATTACATGAACATCAGTATAACTTATTTTAAAAATTGTTCAAAAATCCTACATTTTCCTCGTTTTTAATTTTCTATCAATATTAGATGACAACACTCATTATAGTGAACATCTAGAGACTGTTGTTTCTTCACTATATATGAGGTGAAAATAAACTATTTGCTCTTCGAAGATTAATTTTGTTATTACAGAGGGTCAGTAAATACTTTGGATTTGAAATTTCAATATGTTAGTTAAAACAATAATCTTTGTCATGTTTTGCTGTGCACAGTTTTTTATTAATACTTTTTGCAGATCCTTCTCTGAAACCTGTGCTTTCTCTTCATTTGATTCTAGCGATTGCACACAAAATATTTTAGTGATCTCAATATTCTTGAATGGTTCTTGCCCTGTAGAACACTTTCTTCTTGTGTATCCTCTTTGTTGTCACATTTTTTCTTCTGTTGTGGATCCTTTCACAGCATTAATGGCATCCTACCCAGATAAGATTTTACTAATTTTCATCTTGCAGATTGTGTCAATTTAGTTATCAAACACAATAGAATTTCTGTAGATAATCTAAAACAATTTCCTCAATGGTATATTTCCTCAGTCCCTTTCATTTACCTTAAATGCTAATACTTACATAAGCTTCTCATAAGTTTATCGGCTTAAGAGCGTTGTTGAAAAATGTGGTCTGGAAGCAAGGTTGTTATATTTCCAGTGTTCCCTGAAAGTTATATTTCCAGTGTTCATTAGAGCCAATGTGAGGAGTTCGCGTTATTTGAATCATTTATTAGTGGGGAGTTCCCTTCAATTGAATCTAGTGTTTAGTGTTTAATAATAAAGTATGTGGATCAGGACCAGAGACGTTATTTCATTACAAACAAAAGTTCACTATATTAGGCACAGACTCACAGGGAGGAAAATTTCCACTGCACAACCCCCCAAATTTTTCATTAACTATTAATTTTAGCTTGGCATGAAACTTTCAAGCAAAAATATTTTTGAATGATCATTAAAACAAAGAAACCCGTATCACAGCATGAGCTGAGTGTACCCTGCGACATAAAATCATTTTTAAAATTTGTAATAGGAGATATTCCACGAAAATATTTTGAATTTTTCCTCTCCAAATTCATCCCTGGATCTGCCCCCACTATATTAAGAATCAACTACATTATTTTGATTTTTTTTAGCTTGTGTCTAAAAAAGTGTTCATCTATGTCTTTTTTCTAACTGAAAATAATCATATATGTAATTGGAACATGAAGATAATTGTCCTTCAATTTATAATACATTGAAATAAATGGAGATCTGATTTATTTTTTCCTCTTACTTATTCTGTAAACCTAGTTATGAGAGACATTGATGTCAGTATATTGTTTTAGACAATAAATTAAAGTCAATATTTTTTTTTAACTTCAATGTATTAAAATTTTGTCAATGTTTTTAAATTTTCTGATTTCTTAATGAATGAAAATTTTCCATAATCACAATTTTGTAAAAGTTAAAATATAAAATAATATCTGATGGCAATACTAGCAGCTTGTGTGTTTGAACCACCATTGATGCCACCTCTCGGCCAAGATGACCTTGATGGCCTCATAATGTTTCCTGTCTCTTTTTCCATGTTAGGCACAGGGAGAGGCAGCCAACACATGCGTCATAAGTGAAGGCCCTCCCCCTTCTTACCATAAATTTTGTTGAGAAATACGGACTGACCCTGGATGATCAGACATAGTTTTTTCCTTTGTTCTTATTTTTATTAAATTTTTTGACTCGCGAATTTCGTTAGACCACACTTAAACTAGCTTTAAAACCTCTTATGTTTAAACACACGGATGGTTTAATTTTGAACATGAATAACTTTTTTTATTAATATGGCATTGTTCCTAAGAAACTTTTCTGCTTTTTAACTTTTTTCTTACTCTCTTTGTTGACTGGATTCTTGCACATGATTTTCACCAATAAAACTTCTGAGCTATTTCCTGCACTCTGTATGTGAACAAAATTTATTTCCCCACTGAACACTAACTTCCACATGGTATGAGAATGGTTTGGTTCCCATTACAGAATAAAAACGTACAAAGGGGGAAACTTTGAAAACAGCAGTCAGTGCAAAGTAAAGGCTTTCCCAGTCAGTGTGCAGCATGAGCAGAGGGTGTGATTTTAAGATAACATACTTCGAGAGGCTGATTAGTATTCTGCAGTTTCTTTCTGCATGTTCTCAGCTTCGGTGATGTCTTTGCAGGTATACAGCATGAATATTACTTGCATTTGAGGAGTAACTGAACTTACTTTTCAATTTCTCAAAAGATATTACATGTTATGGTTCTTGATTTAATGACTTTATCTATATTCACTTGATCGATGAACTTGAGTATGTAATAATTAAAGCCCCGACCTAAAAATGTTAAAATTATGAAAGAATTTATGACATCAAAAAATATGAAAATATGACTTAAAAACTGTTTGGTTTTGATGTAAGCATGATCTCTGTGACTGTGGTACTTAAAGCATTCATAAGGTTGTCTTTACAACATTAAAATTCCTTAGGTTCTTTGTGAAAATAGGAATAGAAAAATAGTTGACCACTTAGCCCTGGTAAATATTTTTAAAATTGCCAATCTTATTTAGAGAAATCATTTCATCTTTTTTAAGAGGATCTTTAAAGCAATTTTGCGATATCTATGACTACTTGTACTTTTAATTAATATAAGAAGTAAGAAATTCCTTATCAGTTCACATTTAAACTAGAAAATTAAAAGTATTAATTTACAGCATTTTATAATTACACAGTGCTTAAAAAACATCCAATTGTGATGTTCTAATGTAAATTCAGTACCTGCTGCGCATTTAGTTGTTTTTTCCCTTTTGATATATTTTTAACTTTTATTTTTTTGTTTGTTCAGTGATATTGAAACTCATATTATAATAATTAGTGCAAATACAGCACACCAGGAGACTCTCTCTGCTACAGTCACTTTGCCAGTGACAGTGCCAGCAACAGAAAGTACATTGGTAAGAATGAGATGCAGCTTGTAACAAAAGAAAACATAAATCGCATACTCACCACAATTATAACAGATGCTAGAAGTTTTGTTCCCTTCACTTGTTTCTCAGTGATCTGGTTGCTTCCAATGTAAAGGCACCTTTTCACAGGATGTTTTGACTTGGCTGAGTGCAGGAGTCTTTCCTGGTGGGCTGTATATCAGCTGCATGAATCAAATGAGAATGCATTATTTGTTTAAGCTGTTTTGGTTCTATAGATGCAATTATTATTATTAACTTGATTGGCCACATTGGACCACTTGAGTCGTTCCACTTCACTTTTACTGTTCATGGTCAACTGTCGAAGGTTTTCACTTTGAGGTGAGGATAAATCCTCGAGTTACAATTCTGAATGTTATTCAGAAAGGTAATAATGAGAGATGGTGGATGATGGATGATAGGGGGTGAAAGGACGAACACAATACAACCATGCTCGAAGCGGGACTCGAACCCGCGATCTTTCGGTACGAGATCGCTACGGCACTTCTGCCTTAGCGATCTCAGCCACCGGATCGGCATAGAAGCAATTACTATGATTACATGCAATAAAAAATGAGAATTTTGAATTTAAAAAATGTGAAGTATAATATTTTAATTCAAAAGTAGTTTTTGTGGCAAAAATTGGGTCAACTTTTGAGGAATGCTTAATTAATTTTTGATGGATCCACAAATAATTTAGAGGTTGTTTAATCTTCATATGCAAATAAGTATGAAAAATTGTAAGTTTTTCATGTTTTCATTTTTTCATAAGTATGAAAAATCAAATAGTTTCAGTATTATTGTGTGCTGTTAACAGTATTAATGAGCAGAATGTGTATAGTTCCTAAGAGGATTTTTGAAAATGTCAGTACTTGCTATTTAAGAAATATACACTATGTAAAGCACAGATTCTGTAGAGTTTTTTCAAACTGTGTTAAGCCTGTAATTGTTTCATGATTTCATACATTTTTTGCCTTTTTTATTAATATGTATTTTGCTAGCAATTTAGTTATTATAATGGGTGTGAAAAGTAATTCATAGTTTTGGAGTTGTCAATTTTTAGTGTTGAATTGTTTCCTTCCAAATTTGTAAACCCAATGGAAACAGGGGTCTTCAATGCTTTGCAAGCATTGTTTATTTCTAATATTGAGATCCATGAAAATTTTGTATGTGCTTTAAAAAAAAATACTGACAAACTTTATGACAAATGTGAGCAATAAAAAAACATAAACAAGGGTCAAACTATTGAAAATGAAATGAACATTGTTTTTATTAACCCTCCGTTACATGCAATTGGTCTGAGACTCCACGTTCTGTTTTTTCCGCTCATTGTCAGGTATCATGAGGTACAACAATCAGAAAAGTGCATAAATATTTTATCTATTATAAAAATCCCAAAATATTTGCATCTTATCATCTTCAATGTTGTGGCAGGTTTATGGTTCAATTAGTTACAAAAATTCAGGTTTATTCCATAAAAACTCCACCTCAAATATTTTATAATCTAAAAGGTTGAAGGTATGAGATGAAATTTTCACCAAACGATTCAGGTCATAAGGGCTAATAATGATTATTTTTTTAACAGAATTGTTTAAAAAAATATTTTGAACTAACTATTTTTTTTTGTAACACTGTACTTCTTATTATCATTAGCAGTATCATCATGTTTTTGTTCACAATCAGATTGGAGGGAAATGTTATCACAAATCATCAAAAAATTTCGTTAAATATGTATTAATATAATAAAAATATAAAAATAAATTCCAACAATTGAGTGATATTATTGCAACACAAGGTCTATTTGCTATTCGTTAAAAAATCCTGTGAAAATATGCTATTAAATTTGAAAAAAGAGTGTGTAATAAGTTAGCAGGATAGTCCACACGGATGTACTTGAATCACAAACAAAGTATATGTTACAGAGGGTAATATGCCTAATAATGATATTTATAAAGGTTTTAATGATAATTGTGTAAGATCAGTGGTTATCAAAATATTTTGTTCATTGAGCTCTCAAAAATAATATTCCTCTGGAACCAAAATTTGTATTTTGATTTGTGCTGTGTTCCCTCTAAGTTAAGAAAACAAATCTTTGAAATCTTGCTCTAATAATAGAGAGCACTTGACTATAAGTGCAAGCATTTGTGGATAACTTTCTTCCTTATTACGATTTACATGAACCCTAGTTTTCTCCAAAACACACTACAAGTGGTGTTCTAGAAGAGTATCTGTGTAAAGGTTGTTATGAACTAGTCAACTATTATCTCTGGTAGTTCTGTTCTTGAATATTTTTAAGTAATCTTAACCCATTAATGCATATTAGATGTTACATGCTTTGGCTCAATTCTTGTTGATTTAATTAAAAATCCAATTATTCTTTCCATTCACCTTGCTTAGATTATTTTAAAGTAACATTGCATGAAAACTTAGAACTTACTGCTCTCTAAGAGTTTAATATAAATTAGTGTTGTTTTTCTATAACAGTATTTGTGTATGTAGTCTTCTGAAACTTTCCTGCACTGCTGAAACTTAATTTTTAGGTTTCAAAATTTGTTCTCCAATGGGTTTCAGAGAATTGTCATTAAATAATTTAGTTACCACAGAATGTGAAGGTTTTTCATGAATTTGGTAAAGATCCTTAATCATTGAACTTCAGTTCCAGGAGGTCATGTAGCAATTATTTTCTAGTTGTTTTTAACTCCTGAAGAGAAGCCATTCAGAGTGATCGGATATCCTCTTTTTACTGGAAAGATTTTAAATCTGGCCTCCTGGTTGCCAATGTTTTTACATATTGAACAATTGATGATGCAGAGAGCAGCAATAATATGTCTTGACAGTTCTTCAATAGGACATTCCATTTTCTCCATTCATAGAAGAATTAGGTAAATTTGAATTTTGTGGAGAGCAGAAGTTAGTAACTAGATGGTACAGTATTTTAAAATAGTATTTTTGAGATTGCTGTATTTTTACAATTTCCCACCAAAAATATTGTTACTTATTTAGAAACAAATTTATTAATTTATTTAGGATAAAGAACAAGTATAGTTGAAAGTCTGATCTCTGTGAATTTTTTTTTCAAATTGTTTCTTGAAATTCACAATTTTTCTGTTAGCAATTTATGATTTATTAATACAGCTCTTCACTTGCACAATATCTGTTGTAGGACACAGATATAAACTTATTCATTAATCTTTAGAATTGTGGGCATACAAAATTTTGATCTTGAAATTTATGTTGTATTTTCATGGTAGAAATGAGATTTCTGATAGGACATATCAAAAAGTACCTGTTGTATGCCTTGCATGATTTCCTCCCAAGGAAAGAAATATTGCTGCACAAGGTAGTATGATGATGTATTATGATCTATAAATATGTTTAGATATATTGATTGCTAATTGAAAAGATACTGTGACGTATTTATGCTTGTAACATCACTAGGCAAATAGTTCTTCCAGCATTATTGAAATTATAGTGAGATGATTCTAGGTAGAGAAAAGAAATGACTTCATAGAAATATAAATTTAAGATTAATACTCATGCAAATTGAGGATACTCTTATCCCAGAAGAATTTTAACATTACTTAAATGAAACAAACTCATTGGCAGTGGTGCAACCAAAATTGTCCTGTAGGTAGAAATGGGGGTATTCAGTTGACTTTTTTTTCTTCTCTAAAGAATGTTGCATAATGCAGAATTTAAAAGAAATTTCCATGTGACATATTGAAAGATTTTTTTAAAATCTATTTAACATCAAAAAACGATTACAAATTATGTGGTGTACTGTAAGAAATGCTATCTGCACAGGTGTCTATTCAGGTTGGTAAAAAAAAAACCACCAGATATCTGCTTCTGAGGCGAGAAGTGCTAAAGATGCTATTTTGTACGCGCACGTTTTTTTTAAATACCTTATTCTCTGTGCGTGATACCGCCTCCGATTGACCTACTGTCTTGTCTGTTCAATGGTGGATCTAAAAATCCATCATGGTCTGTTCCCCATGACCCTCATCATTGAAAGGGGGTCAGCTGAAGTGCCCCCTCACTCACGTCGTTGCGCCACTGCTCATTTTACAGCTTGAATAATCCGTCCGTTAATGCAGGTGTATTTTATTAAAAGGATGTTAAATATTTGTGTACCTGTGCAAAAAAAGTTTTGAAAGTCCATAGTAGTTTGTTATATATAATTTTTATATCGTGTAAAAGACTAATTTGTATTATGATTTTGTAAACAGTCCAACAAATTTTATTCCACCTCAATGTCCAAAGACTCACGAATTATTGGTACCTATCCTATTGCATGATTAGACTATAAATTGTATGATCATGGTCACGTGTCTAATGTGTAATATGCACAAAATGTATCAATAAAAAAGCTTTGGCAAACGATGTTGTTTTTATATCCACAACAATTATCCCTTGGATGATCGTAATTAAGAATGTCTTCAATTCTGATTTTGTCTTACTGTGGGATGATTGATTCGTGTCGATTTGTCATCGACACGTCGCAGCCACGCCACAACGTGGAAACAAAGAGGCCGGGAGAGCACCGAAGGGTCAAGGGTCAATGTTGAAACCATTGTTCCACCTTAAAATATTCTCTGGTTGAAACTAGCGCTCTGCTCGGAATTTTCGTGCTTGCTCTGGGCAATCCATGGAGGTGGGGAACTGTATACTCTGCAGGGCCCGGCAACTCTCTATCAAAATTGGGGACAAAGCTCGAGGTTGCTACTATAGGAAGCGCTAGTGTCGCCGGGTGCAGCTGCAGGTTAGGCTCGCCAACATTCCCACATATAAATTGGCTAATTTGTGAGAAATACGAAAAGTGTCTTCTAAATGTACAATTATTCATAATGTCTACTTGTAAGAAACCTCTGAAGAAAGCGCGAACGTAGACGTTATCTTTTGTAACATTATGATCCTGCTTGCGACCCGCGAACTCACGCAGCAGTCACGCACGTTAAAAGTATCGTTGGCAGCAGTTCCTATTTTAGTTCCTGTAAAGAAGGTGATGCAGCAGAGCGCGCCACCATAATGGTTTCCACCACGTTATATGGGAGTTATAGGGCCCTGATACTCTGGAGGGGAAGTGAAGATGACAAGTAGTGGAAGGGGGCACATTGAATTATTGTGAAGGGAAGAAATGACGGGGGAATGAAATTCCAACAACATACGCAATGAGTGGTTGTTTATAAAATTGAATAGACTTGAAACGAATATTCCAAAGGTAGTGAAATTGCGTTATTAAGAAACTATTGCCGCCAATGAAGACAATATCATCTTGAAGTACTGAGTAAATCGAGTGCATTTGATTAATTTGCGTTCGATTGTTCTTTCCAGCTCCAGATATTGCATTTATTTTATGTATGAATGCTTCGCATCACTTTGTCGGCTTTCGTATTTCTATTGTGTTCATGACGTAACCCTAACCTACAGCAATGACAGGAGAGATGGCTTCTAGTAATATTCAAGGCCGTCATACCAGGCAGCCTAGCAAAAATACGCTACTGAAAGTAGTGATCCTGGGAGACGGTGGCGTTGGAAAATCGTGTCTCATGAATCGCTTTGTTAGTAATCATTTTGATGAACATTCTTTTCACACTATTGGAGTGGAATTTCTAAATAAAGATATAGAAATAAATGGGGAAATGTACACATTACAGGTATTATTTTTTAAATATATTTTAACTGATTCTATTAAATTGTAAATTAACATCAATATGAAAAAAATTCCTTTTCATTTTAGATTTGGGATACTGCAGGACAAGAGCGATTCAAAAGTTTAAGAACTCCATTTTACCGAGGATCAGATATATGCTTGCTAACCTATGCAATTGATGATCGTACTAGCTTCAGAAATTTGGCTCTGTGGCGGAATGAATTCCTGTATTATGCTGATGTTAAAGAAGGTACCACGTTTCCTTTTATTGTAGTAGGCAACAAAGTTGATATGGCCTCTGAGCAGCGTGAAGTGACTGGGGAAGAAGCTCGAGCCTGGTGTGAAGAAAATGGTAATCCACCTTTTGTTGAGACTAGTGCTAAAGATGCGACAAATGTTGAACAAGCATTTTCTTTAGCTGTTGAAAGTTGGGCACGCCTTGAAGCTAAACTTGACCGACCTTATATAGGTGATACTGTAGACTTGCGTCGCCAGCAACCAGAACAGCGATCTTCATGCTGTTTATATGTTGGAGGTAATGCAGATTAAAAGGTGTAATTGATCATTAAAATTAAGTAGCAAAAAGCTAGTCAACAGTGAAGAATTCATGTGGCTTAGTGTGATATCTCAGCAGCCTTATATTAAACAATCTCGTGTCTCAGAATATTCCCTGAAATATTGGTAATACTTGAAAAAATGGCTTTCATCTTTGAGATGCTCAGGTCACTAAAAATATTTACAATGAAAGGAGCACTTATTATTTACTCTTTTCAAGGTGAATGGTATTTTTTTAAATTACCCATTGTTAACATTGTGTTTTAAGGAATAGATTATGGTATTTTATCCTTTGAACATAGCAATAATGTTATATACATAATCCTTCAAATAATTTTAACATTTGTATTACTAGCATTATTATCGTAATACTTCATTGTTTTTCTAGCAATACTGCTAAATTGTGAGTTTTTCAGGGTAATTTTTTTTTTTTTTTTTTTTGTGTGTGTTGTCTCTCATTATTGTGGATCAATAACACAAGTAAATTTTTTGAAGGATATATATTGTCAGTGTAATTTTTTCAGGAGAGCCAACATTTTGTCTTCTATTATTTATTTTTTGAGGAAAGAAATACCAAATAATATCAAACACAATAATAAAGCCTGCCCAACTAGAAAAATAAATAAAACAATTGTGTAATTTAGTTTGAAGGATCCTGTGTGATCTGTTGAAATGTATAGAAGGATCTAACTTGTACTTTAGTAAATCAACTATTAACTTTCTAATTTGCATTAAAGATATTAGTTGATAATCATAGTTTCTGACTGATAATAATGTTCAGAATGTGCATTTCTGCCCCTACAAAAAGCTAAATTGTTCTGTCTAAAAAATGTTTGATACATTTCATGTTTGTTTATATATTAGTTATTTTATGAATTGTTGTTATGTTGTAGGTAAGAAATTTTACTAGAATATTGTGGCACAATATTTCATAAAATGTTTTTTAAGAATATTTAAAAATCTGTTCTTGACCAATTTTATGGTCATAGGAGTTTTCACTTTTGCTGAAACTAGAATTTCTGGAAGCTGTACATTCCATTTCAATAATTTCCTTCTTTGTTTTGTTGCAGTACAGTTATGAGGTGCAGTAATGCAATTCCAGTTTATTTGTTACGTATTGCAATATATTCTGTTTATAAAAACAGTATATTGAATTATTGTTAATTTAAGAAATATTTTTCGTGCTTTGAATGTGGATTTTTGTAAATAGGCTTCCTAGGTTGGATTGCGTTACTTACTGAGAGAAGACTAATGATAAAACTTAGCCTGCTGGCTAGTAAGTTAGGAAAGAGAGGAAGAACATTTTTTAAATACAAAAGTGTAGCTTAACAATGGTACATTACTCAGAAGATAAGAGTATTTTCTTCATTAATTCTGTAAGTGTTTACTCCATTCAAACAAATCAAAATTAAACTTTTAAGTAATAAAATATTCTTTCCATTTATTTGATTCTTCGGAAAAAGAGCACTAATTTAATGCTTTCAAGTTTATTTACAATAATAATAGTAATAATAATAATAAAGATAATAAATGCTGATTTAATGAAGTAACCACTTATCTTTTGAACATAATAGATCTCATTGCTTAGGAGGTGGTACTTTTTGAAGCATTGTTCACTTTGCTCATCTGTTAATGGTATTTAGCGTTGCATTATAGATATTAATATTCTTTCATCCCTTTCATTTTAACAAATAGGTTTTCATCATTTGTTCTTTATCTTAGTAAAAATATTAGTTAGAAATGAGGAGCAGCTTGTTTTTTTTTTCTTTGCTATGACTTCTTATCTTGATATCTCTTCTATTCAGTATGCCAATATGTATGTATGTATGTATGTATGTATGTCATCCTACTATGATATGATTTGAGCTGGGATTGCAAATGAGAATTTTACCAAGTAATGTGCAAAACAAATGCAAAGTTAATAATTTTTAACAATGTTAGGCATAAAAAATACATTTTTATTCATTACAGAACATTTTGGGTAAAATTCATTGTATATTTTCAACAATTTCAAATTCTTTGAATAATTTGAATGCATCAATTGCAAAAATATGAGAAATATTTCAAAATACACAATATAATTTAAGATTTAACATTAGAGTTTAAGATATAAAATTCCATACCTAGAATAATCTTGAATTATGGAGTGCTCCATAGTTCTGTTGTCCCTGTTATTGAGTCAAACATAACATAATCAACAGAAATTTGTGAACTCCAAAACTGTATTTAGTATTGAAATTTTTCTTTTGTTACCAAATTTATTGAAGTCAGTGGTGTTTGTTTTGTATTGTCCTAAACTGTAGGTATGGGTTTCAAACTGGGAAGAGAAAATCCTTAGGTCAAAAATCAGAAACAGTTTTCCATAGTATGTAGTGATTACAAGTTTCATTATTGATTAGAGAGCAATTTTACTGTTTTCTGTAAATTAATGTATCATTTTCTGTATTGAAAGTGTGAAGCAATGATCTTGACTCGATTGCAGGTTTTTTAAATTTATTTTTCTTTTCCTGTAAAGTTTCTACTCCATTAAAATTCATTTTGGCAACTTCGTAAATGATACTCATGATGTGTTACTTTAAAACCATTTAAAGTACTTGGCTCCACTCTGTAATTGGCTTTCAAGATTAGCATAACATACAATAACTTGTCTGCAATAGTTAAAAATGTCTCTCTTAGGTTGTCAGGATTTCAATGATCAATAATTATATGTAACCAGAGGTGATTGACAAAGAATCATTCAAAATATGCTAGTTAACACATAAATAATGTGGTAAAAAAAAAATTATGTATGAGGATCAGTATTATTCAGTAATAACTGAAAAAATGAATGAATTATAGACAGCTTATGGGTGTTACTTTTTCTCAACTTTACTTTTAATTGAAAAATTTATTTCTAATAGATTTAGTTAGTAGCAAACATTACTGGTGGATTGGCCTATTAGAAACATTGTATGTTGCAGAAGAGATAGGGGAGTGAATAAGAAAAAAGTAACTTTGTCAATACAACTTGGTTATATTAGTCCTTTCCTATAGTAAACGGTTCCTTAATAAGGGTTTTGATGCTTTTCAGGGATTTGTGAGAGTATTATTATCACACTCATTAACTTTTGTAGTAGCATTTCATAATAATTATATATCTTTTTGTATGTATTTAAGGTAAAATGCAAAAAATTATCTATATCGGTATTATTTCTTGTAGATTTTTTTAACATGAATACATGAACTACTATTTTATTTAAATACATACCAAATGGTGAAATTCACATCAGTAATTATTTTTAAGTTGAAAAAGATGTTTGTTTTTAGTAATTGACTTTAAATTAGTGTCAATCACATGGATTTCTTGTTTTAGTTCTAGGGAAATTAAAAATTTCAAAGAGAGCCTTTTGATGATATGATTTAATAAATCCTATTAATTTTTTTTATGATTTATTTTTAGGGCTTTGTTAAGAATATAGTTTTACGTTTTTGTAATAAAAAATATTTGCAAGTTAAATCCTTGGGAGTAAATGTAGATTAAACATGTTTTCTCAACTGCATTCATGATATTTGCTAGTGCTATGAAAGTGTAGGGGAAATAACTTGCATATTGTACTAATCACAATAACGAAATAAATTGAAGTAAAGTAGGAGGGCTTTGAAATTAAACTTCACTTGCATCATTTGTTCTTCTCTTATTCTCTATTTCTAATAAAAAAATATAATTTTTCTTGTTTTTATAAAATAAAAAATATAGTGTATTTTAACTGCAACTACATTTATTATTTGCTTTTTTTAATAACTTTTTTAATAATGCAATGATCATTGTTTTAATTGATCTGTGACTGCTGTGTTTCATTAATTATTGCTCACATCCTGTAATCATATTTGCCATTAAGTGAAGTGGAGTAAGTGAATGGGAAAAAAGTACATTCATATTTACATATACATTTTTGGTTGTATAAGAGAATTTTGTGATGTTATTTGAAATTGTAGTCTCTTTGTGTTGCAGTTCAATGTGTAGTGGTTGAATCAATTTAAAAACAAGAACAAATTTTCCTGTTAAGTGTATTTTGGGAAGATTCTCAGTAATGTGTTTATGAAACTTCAAATTCCAAGATGATGTTCATAAACTACACAAATTCTAGAAGAGATTTAACTTGGAATAATTAATTTCTCGAATAGAATCTGTGATCAGCGAATTAAAAATATTATATTAAGAGTATTTTTTTAAGTTGGAAGACATTTGGGTTTACTGAATATTGTTCCATAATCAAAGAGAGTGTGAAAAGCATATTTAAACAGTTACAAACTGGACAAATTATAAAATTGTGAGACAAAACTTACAATGCCTACAAGTTGTTTTGCAAATCCAAAACTATTGTTTAAATGCCATACTACTTGAGTACTAATTTAATTTTGAGTGTTCAACATCAAATAATTATCTGTAAGTTTTTCATTTTCTTGCCCGGTGTCTGCATTGATGTGTGATGAAGGAGAAAGTTTTGAGACTGGGAAATAAGATCTTAATAAATTCATAATGATTTGCATATTTATAAACGTCAATATAACTGTGAATCGCAACTTTGTACTATTTAACTTATACTGAATAAATTTAAGAAAGACTGCACTTATAAAGCTGTTTTGCAATATTTACAAAACTGAAGTTCTAAATTTTAATATTTGACTGTCGCAACTTACTTTGATAGTTAACCAAATGAATTTCTAAAATAGCTTTTTTTAAGTAAATAAAATACCTTTTTCGAATTGATAGCTAATCAGTAATGTGATAATTTGTAGTGATGTGTGTGTGTGTATATGTGTGAGTTTGCTCCATTGGGTTTATTTTACTTTTGATGTTTATGTAAATTGTTTGTTGTTGGTTTTTTTCTCTGACTCTCTCTTTTACTACTGTATTCTAAAAATACAAGAATGCTGAAAGCTCTGTGACAATGCTGGATCAATTATGATGAGAATATTCTGAAACATGAGTCTCATGAATCTGTTTGTATTTCTCTGCAAAGATATTTGAAGCTTTCTATCTTGTACTAGAGTAGTCATGATATTAGTGTATGCTGTTAAAGTGAAAATGTGGTTTTTAAAATTAAGCAATGTTAGCCTGCTGTTGATGTGTATAACGTGTAATGTAACTCTTCTGTAAACCAAAGGTAGAACTTCAAAAGTCTCTTGAAGTTAATTGTATTGTATTTTAATAAGGTGATTTTTATACCATGAAGTATTATAAAAAGCTAATATACTCTTATATATTATATATCATAATTTGTTGATATATTGATTTATATTTTGTTGTATTGGAATCATATGATTTATATCATTACTATGTTTATAAAAACTATACTGTTTATTTTGTAGTTTTTGTAATTGCACTTTTTTGTTTTCCCAACATTCCTAGTACCATTTATAACATGCCCTGATGTACTATTTGTTTTTTAAATATATTTTATATTTGTGTTTATGTACACTTTTTACTAGTCCTCGTGAAACAATTTCTGAATTCTTTTTTCCATTTTAATGAAATTAATGGAAATAGAATAAATATACATCATTCAATAAACATACATTAAATATAACAGTTTTATTTTGATGCCTGTAATATCTTCTGGGTTGTATATTGTTTATAAACAGTTAATCATTTAGACTCTCAGAAATTTGTCTGTGAAAAACTGTAGATAGAGAAATGAAAAACCTAGTAGGTGATAGATTTTTGAAATCATATAGTGATTCTATTACACCTTAGAGATGTAAAATAATGTTAAACCAAACACTATTGCTTGTCCTTAATGAAATTTAATAAGATTACGATAAACAAAGTTGTTGGGATGCTCTTAAAACTCCTTACCTTGGGATGTTGGTCCAGTTGGTACTCAATTGTATTCAAATAATTTTAATTCATTGCTAGTCAGTCAAATCAATTTTCTTTCAATGTTGTTAGTATGTGTGTTTGCGAGGAATATTGAATTTAAATAGAATTACAGACATTTTTAACTAGCAGAAGTATACATAGCAATCAAGAAGTATGTGGTTGTATCATGTTCTGTTCAAATATTTAAAACAATTTCTCTTGATTTTGGTTTATAGATATGGGTAATTATATTAGTAATGTTGCTTAACAATTTAAAGTGGTAACTGGTTCTTTTATTTAATTTTAAAGAGTATTGTACATAGTGTATATACATGATCTATGATGGAGTCTTTTTAAGAGTGGAGGAAAGTGGAAGAGAGGGTGGAAATTTTCATGTTAAAAAGTAAAACGCCTTGCCAATAATTGCGACTGTATATAAGTATCACCCTTCTTAACCAGAATATTTAATATTTCAGAAGATGGTTTGTGAAATGGGGAGCATAAACAGATATATAGCTGTAGTTTCTCCTTCTTAGAACACTTGTTTAAAGGGTATGAACCCTTGAAGCATATCAACTTAGTAATGAGTAGCCTGGTAATCACTTTGTGTGCTGTATTGCACTGCCATATTAATTTATATTATCTGCAGTCTTTTTTTAGAGGTGTAAATCACTTCAATAAACTTCTGAAGTTTTAGTATAATTTTTCAGTTTTTACCTAAGTATTAAATCTATACTAAATTCCAGTTCCAAAAAAACTAAAAGATTGTTATCAGTATTTTGTTGTTTGTTTGCATCAGGGGCCAAATCCACTTGTTTTTTACTTGTATGTTCAGTTCCCATCATACTTAGACTCTATACTTAGAATCTAATGGAAAGAGATTATTTCTGTGATACCAACAAGCAAGTCGTTTCTATTAATTACTTCTATCTCAAGAGATTGACCAAATGATTTTTATTCAGAGGATAAAAAAAATTATAAATTTCACTTTTTAAAGAAATTATTTAATAGCTTTCAAAAAATTTGGTATGCCAAAAATTATTTTTTAGATATTGTCTTCATTATGTCTTGTAAGACATACTCATCTTTAAAAAAAATTCATTAGTAACAATTTTTTTATATAAAATGAAACTAGAATGGTTCAGGAGCATGAGGAAGTGAATGCCTATTG